AGCTCCAACGCCCGCTTGCTTCACTTGGTTCCGCTCACCTACTTGCATTCACTTTAGATTAGAGCCAGTTGAATTGAACTAGCAAAATCCCATCCTTATAATCTCCCCTTCTTATAAAACTTTCGCCATTGAAATTTATAATGACATTTTAGTTATAGGATACTACTTTGAGCTAAATTGAGCATAAGTAAAACAACATTTTAATTTTATTGAACTTAAACTTCAACATTGGATACATAACAATAAAATAAAATCTTCGATATAACATAATTAGATAACTGGATAGAGCAAAACATTTGATATAACATAAAAAGTTACTATGTTGAAGACATCTCATTCATCTGTATTAACATCTATTGATTCATTAGGCTCCTGTTGGATTAAAGCATAAATTCGTGGTCAAACATTTTACCTTGGTTGATTTTGTGATGAAGTTGAAAATATTGATTCTATCATCTTTTGTTTGCCAAAGCTCTTCTATGAAGGTGCTTCACTTGATCTCATCTCTCATGAAGTTCTTTGTACCAAAGTAGGGCAATATTTTGCTATATGTACAGGCTGATGATACTTGTAGTAAGGGTTGGAGCCTATCAAGCATCCTCTCTCATGAAATATGCCACACTTAGCACAAGCATCCATAACTCTACTGTCAAATACACTATTGACTCCACTAGGGGTAAACTTGGGCTTCTTTACATTTGATCCTTCAATTTGATTGCTTTGGATATCTTCTTTGGAACTTCCTTTTATATTAGTCTCTTCACTTTTGAGTGATTTGAAAGTCAATCTCCACCCTTCTTACTCTTTCTACCAATACTAAATAATACTCTTTTATGTTTCGACGATAGCTTGACGGAGCCGGTAGCTTGGCGGTGATCCAATGATGGTAGGGAGAAAGTTCGATGAAGATTGGAGGTCAGACCGTCGTCAATCATTGGGGCGGTGGTCCGGTGGGCCGATAGAAGATTGCCAGCAGTGCTGCTTGGGTGGAGATCTAGGATTCTAGAAGCCTCAAAAGATATTTGCAATCTCCAGCGGAAGGGTGTCCACCCCCCTCTTTAATGTAGAAAGAGGAGTTATATATATAAATTTTGGGAGTGACATGCCCCATAAATATGAAGAAGATATGGGGCAAATTCAGAGTGCTCCATTAGATGTAGGGGTGTCAATTTCGGGTCACGAGTCCGGTTTGGGTCGAAACCGGAATTGACTCGGCATGGGTGGGGATAGGCGGGTCAACGGAGCTCAGCAGTGGGCAGCTCGATCACGCGGGGGGCAGCCCAGTTAGCGGGTCATTTTCGGGTTTCTGGGTCAACCCGAACCTGACCCGATTTTTGAATGGGTCGAAAACTCTAACCTGAACTCAAAATTTCTATGTCGAGTTCGAGTCGAATTTCTGGGTCGTGTCAAATATTGACACCCCTAATTAGATGGCGCATATTGATCACCTCAATCATATATCTTTTGTTAAGCATTTATATGCCCATATTATATCAAAATTAAGTGTTCTTAGGCTCGTTAGATTCGTCTCGTCGAACTGCTTGATTCAACTATAATCATGTTATATTTGGATATATTTGCTAATCCAATTTGTACTTTGAACATTCTAAATGCTCTTCAACCCCTAATTTGGGATTTATTATTCTGTGCGGAGTCCGGAGGGTGTTCGGAGGCCAACAAAAATGTGCCACGTCACTCCATTGCTGGGTACCCAGCTCGGTGTCCGCACTAGGTGCCCCTCGGTCCCGCTGGGTACCCAGCGCTTAACCGAATTGTTCTCTCGTCCGATGTCCGTACAGAATAATAACTCCTAATTTGGGCCTCTTTGGGCTTGGATTAAACAAATTTTGTTGTCATTAGGTTAGTCTAGACGTTTAATTTGACTATAAGTTAACTAAATTGGAATTTAGATAATTCTGAATTTAATTTTAAGATTTGCCTATTAAGATTTGTCTCAAAATTCATATTGGATCAAATGATTTATGGTGGCGTATCATTTATTATTAAGATTATTATTAAAAGGAACTTAAAAGTGCTGTACCAAGCACGTGAAATCGTTCCATCGCCGGTGATGGCGCCGCTGACTTCCACTATAGAAATTACGCAAGCACCCAACAACCTCTCCCATCTCTTTAATTTGTGAGATACAGAGAGTTGCAGGCGGACTACAGCTTTTTTTTTTTTTTTTATTAGTGTGAAAGCGGTACCAAATAATACTTTCTTCTAGAAAAAAAAAAAAATTTATGATTATCTCTTTAATTATCTTAAATATTATGCTGATAATAAATATATTTCTTTTATTAATTTAAATTATAAGTAAAAATGATAAATAAATAAGAGGGGGCAAACCATGTGACCCGAAGAATGAGTAAGAATTATGAAAGGTCAAAGCATTTATGAGAAATGGTGGATTACAAGTAACCAATTAATTACTTTCACGTTATCAAAGTTGGGGAGGGCAGCTCACTATCATAAAATTCTTATGAGCTTTCTATAATTTATGGGCGAGTATATGTCACCATACTTTTTTATTTTATTTATTTATTTTTAAAATATTTTGATCAATTAAAAAAAATAATGCATATAAAGACCCGAACAAAGTCCTACACGGAGTCCTGATTGGGTACCTATTGGGTGCTCATGCGCTGCACGACGGGTTTTGCCTACCCAGACGTACTCATCCATGGTGACTTTTAGGGTGTCATACCCATCAATTTTTCACGTTTTTTTCCTTTAGGCATGTTGCCCTTTGATTTGACTGCAAACTTTCAAGCACATATCAGAATTTATCGTGGACACAATGCGGTTCAGTGTTGCACATTGTGTAGTGAGGATTGCGGTAATATACGACGTACGATAATTACTAATGTAAATTGGTTTTCCTCATTGTTGAGTACCCACCCATACCCACTCATGAGACCATGACACCCATACCCATTGCGTACATGGGTGGGTGTGAGTATGGATATCAATGCAAGGCTCTGGACTTGAATCCAAAACCTTTTAGTTGAAAGTCAAAACTCCCAATCAATAGATCAAAATGAGCTGCATAGATTTTTTATTTTATTTTATTAACAAGTTATAAAGGTGTGAGTATTATAATTCATGTATTTTTTAAATTATGAATAAAATAAATATAAAATGTTTTTTTTTTTTTGTAAAATTGATTAAATAACTATTATTAGTTATATTAATTGATTGTAAAGAAATTTTTTATTTTAAAATTAACTTCACTATCTTTAATCTTCTATATTGTTTGTGCCCATTAAATAAATTTATATTTAATTAACATTTGATGTAGCATTTTTAATTAATAAATTAAAAAATAATCATTCACATTCACACAATACTCTTTATCTAATTTTTTTGTCAGTTAAGATTTAGTTGGCTAGAAATCCTAAAAATAAAAAATTAAATTACTTCTCTGATAAATTATCTTATTTTGTGTAAAATATTTAACATTTAGACTGTATGACTGTTTTGATTATTTATAAAATAATAAGTCTGATATATTGGGTGAAATAAAATTTTCGTATTACTTTTTATTTTTATTTCTCAATGCATGCATTATCATAATATGCTATTTAAATTTAAGATATTATTATTGACTATGATCAACTATAGATCTAGTAATCCGAACACATCCCAATAACTCATTTTAATTTAAAAATATTTTTATTAGCTTATTAATTATATATATTAAGTTAATTGAGCATAAATAAGAAGATTATACCAATAAATAAAATAAACATAAAAAAAAAAATTAAAGGGGCCATTTTTCTATCAGAATCTAGTTTGCAGGTCAACCCCAACTACACTTAGGCTTCGTTTGAGATAATTTTTTTATTACTTTCTAAAATAGCTGTTTTGTACAAAAGATTTTTGTACTAAAAAGCCGTCCTAAAAAACAATAATAAAGTTGTCTCAAACCAAGCCTTAGGCTTCGTTTAGGACAACTTTCTTATTGTTGTTTAAAGCATCTTTATAGCACAAAAATTTCTAATTTAAAAGCTTTTAATAGTTAAAGTTACTTTATAAAGCAATAAAAATTGTCCCAAATAAAATCTTAATTGCAAATAGATGATAATCAAAGTACTATAAACCTACCCAAAATTATTCTATAACAATATTCTAAGCACTTCACTGATTTTCTTGAGATGTCTGTAAAATAATAGTTAATTGATTTCTTATATAGTATAGTTAATTGATGAGTGTAAAATAAATTTTGACAAAATTTTGAGAAAGATATTCTAAACTAATTTATTCCCTTAAGATAAATATGTTAAAAATAATTAAAGAAGAAAAAAAAAAATCATCTATAAAAAATCCCATGTCAAATTATTAAAAAGATTTAATCGGAAGTGTAATTAAGACTTCATTTGAGATAACTTTGTTAATATTTTTTAAAGCAATTTTTTAGTTCAAAATTTTAATTTTAAAACAATTCTTAAAATTACTTTAAAAAGCAATAAGTTTTCCTAAACGAAGCCTAATATTTCATTTGGGGTGGCTTTCTTATTGTTTCTTAAAGCAGTTTTTAAAACAGTTTTTTAATACATAAATTAAATTTTTATATTAAAAAGCTATTTTAAAAAGCCGTCGCAATTGAAGCCTAAATATATTAAATCATAGAGTTATAATATATAACGTTCTATTTTTAACAAAGTTATTCTTAAGAGAGTATTTTTTTAATTATTTAAGGTGGGATTTGAGCAAATAGAAGAACCAATATTTAGGGTGAGGATATGACTCTATTTAAGTATTTATAATCAAGTATATTTATATTATTTTAATCTATCATAAAAATAAAATAACACAGATATATATATATATATATATATATAATCTTAAGAAAAAGAAAAATAAAGCATACTCAGTTTGAGCGCGAAATGCGTAACCGCGTCGAGGAAAGACGCGGCGCCGACGGCGTGGAGATGATAACCTGCTCAGCTGGCACTCGATGGTCACTTGAATTCTCCTCCCCTTTCTTTTCTTCCTCTCCTACTTAAAACCCTTTAACCTTTCCATTACTCTTCAGATCTCTGTCTCATTCTCTGATTTTTCTCCATCTCTTCTTAACTACAATGGGAAGAGCCATGACACTCTTTCTCTGCCTCTTCTGCACCGCCGTTGCCCTTCTCGCTACCTCCGCCATTGCCGAGGACCCCTACCGCTACTTCACTTGGACCGTCACCTACGGCACCGCTTCGCCTCTCGGAGTTCCACAGCAGGTTATTTCTCTCCCCCATTCAAATGCATCATCTAAAATCCTGGGTACGTAATAGCTAATCTTGCTTATCCGATGTTGTATTTCTTCGAAAGGTCATCCTCATCAATGGTCAGTTCCCCGGCCCTTCCCTTGATTGCATCACCAATGACAATATCATCATCAATGTCATCAACCAGCTCGACGAGCCCTTCCTCTTAACCTGGTGAGCCTCACGTTCTCTTCAGATATGATCATTCACAAACCAAGTTAAAACTATTGAAGTCTTGATAGGAGTACTACGCCATTTGATTTACTGAAAATATATTTTTTGGGGAAATGAAGGAACGGGATCAAGCAGAGGAAGAACTCATGGCAGGATGGGGTTTTGGGTACTAACTGCCCTATCCCTCCCAAGGCCAACTACACCTACAAGTTTCAGAGCAAGGACCAGATCGGCACCTTCACCTACTTCCCCTCTACGGCAATGCACCGCGCCTCCGGCGGATTCGGTCCTTTCTACGTGCGCCAGCGCTCCGTCATATCGGTGCCTTACGACATTCCCGACGGCGAGATGTCCCTGCTTGTCGGCGACTGGTACAAGGCTGGCCACAAGGTATTATTCCCATTTGGCAATAGATCCATTTAAGTTCTTTCAGACATTTAGTCGAACAGTTGGCTTATATTTGGTTTCCTCTTGGTATCATCAGTCGTTGAGGCAGGGTTTGGATTCAGGGAAGCCTCTCTCTTTTCCTGATGGACTCCTCATTAATGGCATTCCACAATCATATTTCTTCACTGGAGATAAAGGTATTTCATCGGATTTAGGTTGGATTTAGTCAACTCTAATTTCCTCCTAAATTCTAGTTTTAAGTACCAAAAAAAAAAAAAGTACCAAACAACCTCCTTGATTCAGTAAATTTGAGATTAACAGCAAATTATATGATAACGCATCTCCAATGATGTATAATCATACATTCCACTTAGAATTTATTTGTTCTTATTCTCCAGGGAAGACATATCTATTCAGGATCTCCAATGTTGGACTCTCCCTATCCTTCAACTTCAGAATTGAGGGCCACAAGATGAAGGTTGTCGAAATCGAAGGATCCCATACAATTCAAAATACTTATGATACGCTCGACGTCCATGTTGGGCAGTCCATAGCTGTTCTTGTGACTCTTGATCAGCCACCGAAGGACTACCATATTGTGGCCACCTCCCGGTTCACAAGAACAGTCCTCACTGCAACTGCTGTCTTGCACTATAGAAACTCCAAGTCCCCAGTTTCTGGACCAATCCCCGCTCCTCCGGCCGGTGATTATCATTGGTCTATGCTCCAAGCCAGAACCTTCAGGTGAATGCTCTTTGTCTTTCTCTTAAGCTTGTTTTGCAGAGATTCGATCCTAGAACAACTTCCAAACACCTTACCAACTAAATGCTTACATGTTTCCTAGTAGAAATCATTTATGCATATTTTGCTATCAACTAAGGCTTCATTTGGGACGGCTTTTTACTGCTTCTTAAAGCAGCTTTAGAGTACACAAATTTTAAATTTTGTACTAAAAAATTGTTTTAAGAAGCAGTAAGAAAGCCGTCCCAAACGAAGCCTAAGTGGAATCACTTTTGCTTAGTAACATATATTTATGGATCCAAGTCACTTTTGAAACTAAATGCTTTTCTTGTTGAGCAAAATAAATAATGTTTGAGTGTTTGACATGAATTCCTTACATAACATATTGAATGTAATCTTTGCAGATGGAATCTAACAGCAAATGCTGCAAGGCCTAATCCTCAAGGATCTTACAAGTATGGTAACATCACAAGGTCCAGATCACTGAACTTTGCAAGCTCTGCACCTGTGATCAATGGCAAACTGCGCTATGCTGTCAATGGTGTCTCCTTTATCGTACCTGACACTCCATTGAAGCTTGCAGACAACTTCAACATTGCTAGTGTCTTCACTTGGGATAGCATCCCAGTTTCGCCTACCAATGGTCCTATTGTTCTTGGAACACCAGTTCTGAGGACCAACCTTCATGAATTCATTGAGATAATTTTCCAAAACACCGAGAATACCATGCAGTCTTGGCATCTTGATGGCTATTCTTTCTGGGTTGTTGGGTAAGCCCTTTGATACTTTCTGTTTATATAACTAAATATTTATATGGTTTGAGATATCTTAAGCCTTCTAAGAAAGCTTCTGCTGACTTTCAACTATAAACAAAATTTAATCATAAGATTGTTAATAATGTATTTGAAACTTGGCAATGCATGTATTTAGATATGGAAATGGGCAATGGTTGGAACAGAATCGTAACAGCTACAACCTTGTTGATGCTGTCTCTAGACACACAGTCCAGGTAAAATTATACACTTTTCTAAATATGGAAATTTCTGTATGGTTTAGTAACTAATTCCATGTGTGATGTATTTAATTAGGTATATCCAAATGGATGGTCAGCGATCTTAGTATCACTGGATAATCAAGGGATGTGGAATCTGAGGTCTGCAATGTGGGGAAGGCAGTACCTTGGGCAACAACTCTATATTAGAGTTTGGACTCAAGAGAAGAGTTATTCAAATGAGTATGATATTCCTCCAAATGCATTGCTTTGTGGCAAGGCTTCTGGGCTTCATCCTTAGAGAAAATGGTGAATTCTTGTATCATTTGGCTTCTTGTGTCACAATAAGGTGACAAAATGGAGGAGGTGAGAGGTTAATTTTTTTAGGTAGAAGTGCAAGAATTTGTTTTTTTTTTATTATGCATTGACACATTTCTTATTTATAGCAAAAATGTAAGGAAAATTTGTTTCTTTTGTAAGTTCAATAAAGCATTTTATGTAGGTCACATGATATGGGCAATAGTTTTATGTTTAGTTATTGTTGTGGAGAGAAAGCAGAGGGAAAGTGGGGCTTGAACATTATAGCTCCATTTACCATGAGTAAGAAAAAAAAAATTTGTTGAGGATTTTCTAGCTATAATTGTAATTAACGGTGGAAGATGTTTTTTAAATAGCATTGTAATTTTATTAAATTTTTATTTTTTGTTAGTGTAATAAGTGAAGATAATAGAGAATAATCTCAGCTGTCTTAGTAATTTTAAAAACTATACACATAAGAACGATGGATAATATTTTATATGTAGAAAAGCCTTGGACTAAAAAATTATTGGGTTTTGATGTGGCTAGAATATCTAGTATTTGTAACAAATTGGTTGGGTGGCTGCTATGCAAATGAAGTTGTTATACATGACTTGTTGTTGATATATTAACCTTTGATGATACAAGCATTTTGGTTATGTTGTTAAAGTATTTTAATCATTTTTGGCATCAAACTTCATTTTCCTAAATAAGTTGAGCATTAACTAGACCTCTTGAATTCGTCGAATATTTCATGCATCACATTGCAAATCACGCTTGATCTTATAGTGATTGTTATAATCCCGTATATTTTTGGGCATGACTTGTGGGTCCAAAGATATTTCAGAGATTAGACAAGAAGAAGGAAATTAGATTTTTCTTATTCATAAAGGAGGAGATACATTTCTTTTTATAAAGCAGTAATGTACGACAACCTAATCTATAGCCAATCAGAAGATGACAACACTTTTATATAATAAATATAATAATGCTATAATATTCTATTGCTCTAATATTAGTGATTGTTATAATCCCCTATATTTTTGGGCATGATTTGTGGGTCCAAAGATATTTCTTATTTCATACTTGCTTACACTACAAAATCACAACTTGTATGAAAACTTCATTATACAAGAGCACCGGCGTAGTTCCACATGTGAGTTGGTTGTAAGCTTTGTAGATGTGTGCAATAGTAGAAGCTATCATGACTGGATGTGGTTGTAGTGCAATTATGATTTTAAGTGGTTGATGTTCAAACTTAGTAGAGGCGGCCCTCACATAGGTCTTATTCGAGATGATTATGGTACAGCCTAGCGATGAGGTTGTTATGATGAAAGCCTTGAAATGGATGATTGAAAAGCATGAAGAGTTGTGGCATAGGCCCTGATGCATCAAAGAAGTGAGGTTGTAATATTACGATGTAGCTATTGAAGGTGATTATTGCAACACAAGTATGATTGTGACACTTTTTTGAAAGAGAAGATGGCAATGCAAGTAAGGTTGCAATGCATGGCTAGAACTAAAGCAAGTTTGGGATGTAGCTGTTGGTGTTAACATATTCAACGTGAATTATTTTTAAATTGTCCATGGAGTTTGCAAGAAAATGCTTTAGGGGTCAAAGAAATGATGAGTTTTAAGATGATCCAATATATGTTGGATGCTAACTCAAAGAGGAAGAGCACTTGGTTGTCCTCTGAGTTTTGGTGAATGATTAATTTCCAACATAGAGGTTGTTAAATTTTTTTTTTAAAAATTTTGGGCTTCAACATGAACTTTATCATTTAAAGGGTGTACCGACTAGACATTTTCCAATTCCTTTCTTTGAAGGATCAAAGATCTTTATTAGAGAATAGCTCTTTGTTTATGCTTTTATAATGTCACCAAATCGAGAGTTGGTATTTTGTTTTGAATGTTGAATCTTTTTGTGGTTGTGATTTAATGGATTCTCCTTACGAATGACATAAAAATTTGCCCAAGGCTCGAAAATTCTCCCAATATTTTTATTATCCTCTATGACTATTACTAAGCGTCATAGTTGCTAACCATTATCTATTATGAAAAGTTAGAGCTAAATCCCCTAACTATTTTAATTTTCTTTCAAGATTTTTGGTCTACGATAAGAGAATTATTAGCTTTAAAAAAGTCAAATTAAATTCGCCAAGTATGTTGGCTATCTTTTGAGATTATTAGTCACACCATTCTTAACAATTGTAATTTTTATGGTAGAGTTTGAATCAAATCCATCATTGATTAATGAAATTATTTTTAAGGTGTAGTGTAAACTCAGATAATCTTGACTTAGGATGGGGAAGATCTTATCAATTTTGAATCACCCTTGCCCTTTTGATGTGGACGTTTTGACCTTATCCAATGGCTAAGAGTTTAATTAGGGATTATATAAGTTGCATATTGATGAAAAGATGAGACGCCCATGAAATTGTCTTATGCATTTTCTTTTATACAAGTAAATTTCAAATGAAGGATAATTTGGTTAAGATCTCCTTCGAGTACAAATTGTGCATTAGGCATCAACATGGATTTTTCTTCTGATTGCCACTTATATAAGATCCTGAACCAACATCGTAACATAAAGTTGCCAAATTGATGTAGCATCAACTTCAATATTCTCGAGATTGTTTTTTTATGAGGGGGGTTACCTTATTTCCTCTTAGTCCTTAAAATAAACTCGAAAGGAATAAGGAGGTCATCAAGTTATTCTCCTAATATAAGTCTATTTTTTTATTGTCTTCTTTGAGTGATTTGATGTTTGCAAGAGCCACCCTTAACGACTAAACAAGCAACATAGATGATTGAAGTGTCACCAGTAATGTGGCTGGCTAAGGAGCGATCATTTTGTAGAGGTTTTAGTAATGTTGTTGGCTTAAACAATTGTGTTATACAAATCAATGTGAATTACATGGCAAACTATAAAGCTTGGAACAAAGCTGTTTGAAGTGGAGTGAGCAATGTAATCAACTATAGAGGATTTAATGAATATGTCTGAGTATGTACAAATGATGGTGAAGAATAATATGAATTTCTTAAAGAACAAGCAAAGACGATTGACTATGGAGAGAGCATATATCAAAGCTATTTAAAGTGGAGTGAGTGATATGAGCATCTTTAAAATGAGTGATGAAGCCAGTTGGGCTTGGTGAACCTTAGAAATGATTTTACTTAAAGATTATTGAATGTGTTTTATTTTGTAGAATACTTATATAAATTTGATTCAACTGTAAATCAATTAGTCCCAGCAGAGATTAAATTTAATGATGAAGATGAAGCATGAAAGAATATTATTACTAATTATTTGAGAACTTTTGTGATCTTTTGAGTGATTCTATGAGAAATTCAAATTAAAACTTAATGATATTTGATATAATATTCTCTATTCTTACAAATATTTGAAGGAGAGAATTTAGAGAAGTCTCAACATTGAATTATACTTTGAATGTTTAGAACATGGGCATAAGTTTTGAGAAGTGTTTTAACTAGGATAATGATAATAGAGGAAAATCAAAGAATGATATAAGCAAGTCCATGTGGAATGTGGAATTGTAGCAATATTAATCATCGAAAAATAATTACATAGTACTAAACAAGAATAACACAACAAACACAACCACTAAAGAGATACATGATGATTAATCATGTTGTTGATTATCACATTGATTCTTAGGTACTAAATTCCGAAGCCTCCTTTCATATTATTGCAAACCACTTGCTCATTGAGAACTATGTTGCTTGGAATCATAAAATAGCTTCTTTGGCTAAAATTGAGCTTTTGGACAATGTTGACTTTAGAGGTGTTATATTGAAAATAACTAACATAATAATTGAAAGGTCTAGAAGGTTAGACATATTCTTAAGTTGATGTATAATTTGATTGTAATTGGGCAAGTTAATGATGAAGGGCATAATGTGAAGAATGGTGAACTGAAAAGCCACTATTGGAGTTATGTGGTTGCTTGAAGAAATAAAATTGGAATGCTTCACATCACTTCCAATTGTCATGATGCAGTTGCATTTATTGATTTTGCAACAAATTCCATTTTGTTGCACTGTAAGGTTAGGTATATGAGTGATGGAATTGAACTGTCAAAAGATTAACTGAATTGAAGCAAATACTTCAGTTCAATTCAATTCCATTTCTATTTAGGATGAGAAATTAAATAATTTGTATTGGTTCTAATACTTCACCAAAAAATTGCCTTGACCAGGCATCAATTTTGATGCACATCTAAATTGAAAACATCTAATATTAAATTGGGACCATCCAAACTATGATTTGAGCAAACTTATACTCAAACTCAAATTGAATGTTTCAATGGGACGAACCCAAGAACACCAAAATCGATCTCAATCCAAACCCAAATGAGCTCAAATCAAAGGCTTAGAGCATATTTGGAAACTCTAAATCATTAATTGGATGACCAAATGATGTCCAAATAGCATGCATATAACTGAATCGAGAGGCTGAACGAGACGAATCCAATGAGCTCAAGATCGCTTAATTCTGACATTAATAAGGTACTTAAATGATGACAAATTCATGATCAATGGAATCAATATGAGCCATCTGATAGATCACTCCGAATTTACTCTAGATCTTATTTATATATACAGGTCATGCCACTCTCAAGATCTATAAATAGATCCTCTCTTCTCAAATGAGGGGAGGGGGTGGGGAGGGATGCTTAGACTTTTGGAGGCTTAGACCTCGGGCTAGAGACTCAAGAGAGCTCTAAGGCTTGAAGCATCCTCGAGCTCCACCCCGGCACCACCACTAGCAAACCCTCTCCACCAAGTCACCACTGTTGGACATCTACCTATTAATCATCGTAGGACCTCCATCCAGCCCACAGGCATCATCAAGCTTTCATCCTACATCTATTACTTGCTGACTATAATCCCTCTGAACATCATCGCCCGCTCAGTATGGTTTGTCCGACCATAGTCGTCTGCCGACTATAATCCCTCTGATCACTATTGCATACCGACTATGGTCCCTTCGACCTTTGTCACATGTCGACTACGGTTCAATTGTCACCTACTGAATACGATTGCTTCGACCTCCGCCGTCCATCAACTATGGTCCCTCCAACCTCGGTGGCCCACTGATTACTATCCCTCTCACCACCATCACGTATCAACTATGGTCACTCTAAAAATCATTCACTCGCCAGCTATAGTCCCTCCAACCCCCATCACTTATCGACTACGATCCTTTTTGTTGA